CCAAAGATTGATGAGTGCGCCCAAGTATTCCAATGAGTTGATATGCAGGAAGCCATCAATGGATGCTGGGTCGGTAGAAGAGATTTTTATGGCACGCATGTCGAAACCGGCTTCGACAAGAGTGTCACGGATCAAGCGCCAAAGGAAACTGAAGTCCGCACTCCAACCACCCAAACCCCCATAACTGGCATCGGAGTACGCGCGGTGGGTGAAATCATGATCCAAGTATAACGCGACAGGACGAGACCAAAGTGGACTCTCCTCAGGTTCCAGTAATGTTTCCAACATTTGATGAATCGTAGCAACTGCCATCCGCGATAGGTAGATACGGGAGCGTGTCCACCAACTTTGTTTGTCTGAGAAAGCATTCTTGGCCGCTTGTGTCAGTGCATTTTGCAAGTTGAAACTCAAGAAATTGCCCCATGGAGCAATCTCAGATGCAGATCTGACAATGCCAACAATCTTTGCCATTTCTTGAGGAGAGACACAACGAGGACAACGCTTAAGAATGTCCACCAACTGCGAGTGCAAATCTTCCCGTTTGTAAAGGGGCCAAGAGACTGTCATATCATGGGTATTGATACGAAAACCCAAAAGCAAGAAGGTTTCGCTGACCTCAGGTTCCCATTTTGTCGCTTGAAGGCAATCACCTTGACGTGGATCATGGCCAAAAACCTCAAAGGCCGACATCACACTATGATGTATGGCTTGTTCAATGTGGGCAGCAAAAGCAGCAACCGCATTGTCATCAACATAGCTGGCATTGTACATCCGTAGCAGTTCATCCATAGACAATAGTGGATGATGGGATTCCGCAGGCACCGTACACAAAGGTGTAGTTGTATCAACAGAAATAGAACATTTTTGAACCAAATCATGTAAGTCGTCCATAGGGACGTCGACTCAACACGTAGCCAGGACCTCTCGCAGATCAGCAAGGACACAGTAAAAAGAAGGAGCTTTTCGCAAGCCAAACACTTGACCCACTGGGACAATCAAATAATCAGAAAAGACATATGCGAAAGCCACAGCCACATCCGGATGATAAAGCACTCAGCAAAAGGCAGTCTCAACATCATCAGCATGAACCAGGATTGGACTTGTTGGTTCGGTGATGCGCATACGGAGAATCTGACGAAGGAACCGTTTGAATGCGAACTGGTAGTGAATGGGTGGGCACTCATTGCCAGTTTCATCTTGCTTAGGTTTTGGGATGTAGGTGTTGATTGATCCCAAGTCGTCAGGACCATTGGAACAATCAATACAAATCCGGCCCTTGCCTTTGGGATTAATAACCAATCCTGGAATAAATTGGAAGACGAACTGTAAGTAGTGAAGGTGATAGGCCTTCCATTCTTCTTTCGCAAACTTCTCTTCGACTTTCGAAAATTGGCAGCAGCTGCAGGATGGTTATCATATTCTTCACGTAGAACAGTAGCAGACATCGGAGTTGTTTATTGGGCCTTGATAGGAACGCCCTCGGTCTGGATACGGTAAGCCATTTCCAGTTTTAGTGGAGGATATTCAGCAGGAACTTCGCGATTATGCAATGTGGAGTCGATGACATCCCATTCGGCATTGAAGTCATGAGCGGAATTTACATATTCTCCACCCAACCAACGGATGAAATCACCATGAAGAAAGTCAAATTGAAGAAGACCAGCAGAGTTGAATTTCGCCCGTACGGGATCCAACATGGTCAGAATACCTGTCGCTGGAAGGACGAGTGGTTCTTTCAAACAAGCCAGCAAAGTGACAGAGGCGAAACGGCACAAAGAGGCATATTGGCGCCACTGAGGCAATGCCACAATCATAGTATTGTGGCGATCGATGTGCGACAGAAAACCCCAGGCATAGTGGATCATAGAGCGGGGATTGACTTTTGCATGGGTGCTGTATCAATCCTTGTGAACTTTTCCAAAGCCCCGAGTAGTCTTCCGAGGACGAGAAAAAGGAAACTCCAAAAGCAAGGAGCCGCACGCTAAGGCCGGTGTTACCTGGTCCATCATGTCATAATCCTCCTCATCGAGATAGTCACTCGCCTGAACCAAGTGTGCAATCAACAGAAATGTTGGTTGGACCTGTCCATTACCCGGAATGTTTTGGTGCATCGTCTTGGTAGGAGTATTGTATTTCTTATCCTCTCCCCATGGTAGACACGGCACCATATCCAACGGCAAATTTCGAATCGGTAGGTACTGCCAATCCCAATCACCAGGCCACTTGTTCTTGATCTCTGGCGGCGGGCACTTGTAGAATC